TTCTGACTTTAACACTGGTAGTATATTTTATTAAATAGCAGTTTTGCAGTTGGATCTCAAGTTCTACAATAGGCACTAATACATATGGAAATATTTCAGAAAAATTGACTTAAAATGTACCCTGAAATCTATGTTCATTATAGTGCTAGCTAAGAGATCGAATTTCCCATCCTCAAAGAAAGATTTATTCAGGATAAAGTAACTTCATACTCTCTCCGCTGACATAATGGACTTGGAATTTTAAATCACAGAACTGGAGCTTAGAACAGCAGCTCAAAATGTAGAATTAGTCCAACTGATTCTGCTGCAATGTACCCTAGTTATTCAAATACACAGTCACCTTTACAGCTTGTTATCTGTTTGAGCATGGTATTCTGGATCTCAAAATGTCCTCTAAAAGCAAGTCTGAAGTGCAAGAGATGTTCATTCGTGTTTTTATATTATTCTCTGTCCCCAGTAAACAAAAGTTAAAGCCCCCAAATTCAAACTTCACTCAATATCTTCGTACTGCCTGTTTGTTATTCCAGAAGACTGTACTGTTTAAAAGATGGCTACTAGCTCAGCCAAAGCAATGAAGACTGCTTGTATTTCATGATTTGGCTGCCATCCGTTTGGAAGATAATGAAAAAACTGACTCAGCCTAACACAGCCTGAGTCACTAGTCAAGTCTAAGAAGCTTCAGACCAGAAAATGTGTGGGAACAACATATTTCCTAATAGAGATAATCACCATTCTGTCAAATTTCTCTCATCCTCTGAGGAGTGAATTCTTGTTTCCATGAAGCCAAGAATATGCTATGCTGAAACTTAGAGCAGTAAAATACAATCCTAGCCTTTATTTCTGAAATAATATCCTTTAAAATGGTAATGTGAAAGAGTAAATATCTGAGTGTTTCAAGGCAAAGCTGCAGAAATAATCAGATCTCTATGCTTGAAGCTACTACTGAACATATGGGGGCCAGATAACGGGCATACAGTGATCACCATTTGTTTAAACACTTAGATTTTACTAGCACTACAGTGATGCAAAATTTTGTTTTTAAAGCACTGCACAAGTCTACAATTTGCTTAACTGTGTTATATCAGATCAAAGAAAGGGGAAAAGTGCTATATTTCAATATCCATACTTTTTACTAAAACAACTTCTAAGACCAACAAGTTGTATAGATTTAACTTTTACCTAACAAGTAATCTGCCTTTCAAACACTGCCTTCATTGTTGTTGCAGCACTATATCAATAAAATATTTTTCCCCAGCTAACTGAATTCTAAAATGTCCAATTGGAAGTAAACCATGCTTGTCTTGGTATAAAAAAACTCTGTGATGAAAGAGTTGCCTTAAGTGTTGTTTCTTTCCAGGCCCATTATCTTACACTGTACTTACAGGAAAGGAGATCATGAATAAAACATAGAAGCTGTCACAGCAATCTTTCACCACCAATAGAAGCCAGCATGAGCTGAGGATTTGACTAGCATAATTCCATATAGACGTAGACCTCTAACCAGACAGACAACATCATCCATTACTCAGGTATTAGAGCTAGAGGTATTAATGTCCAACCTTTTGGCTTGCCTGGGCTGCCCTGAGTTTTAAGAGGAACTGTCATGAACTGTACATAAAATGTATGATGTATGTAAGTACAAATGTAATTATTTTATTAAAAAGTTTTCAGAAGGAGCTTTTATTTGAATTCAAAGCCACAATATTACCAGAATTCCAACATCAAACTGTGGCCATTTTTAGAAGAAGTCAGGTAAACAAAAGAAATGATGAAGAAAATATGAATAAATCTGAGAATACCTGAGATATGGAAATTAATCACAGCAGTGATATTATTTGAAAAGTGCCACATAAACAAAAATTGAACAAGTTATATTTTCTAGTTTGACATCTCAGTCTGATTTTTTACTTCCTATTGACAATTAACCTAAATATGTTTCCCCAACAGTGGTAACAATGTGATCTAATTTTCATTGTTTAGAATCAGTTATTCAACTGCTAAGAGTAAATGAGATTCACTGCTCAATTAGTACAGCCTCTAACTCATCTTATCTCCAGCTTCACTACAGAAAAGCTGGAGATCTCTGCCTGTTTTAGAACATCAGCAGCACAAATCTAGCAGCAAAGCCTTAAGAAGCCAATATATCACTTATTTTAAAAGCTTGACCATTCTACCTCTAACATTTTTCTCCAATGATAAAATTATGTAATTTTCAATGTAACTAGGGTCAAAAGTTTAAATTTTTCTTCCCAAATCTTTGGCATTCCATCTCTTAATAGATTTTTGTTTCATATGCGAAAGGCAAAAAATATTAACACCTGTCTAATTCTTTTTTTGAAGAAAATTAATGTTAAATGGAGGTTGCTTATGTGTTAGATAATTATACATTTGCTCATTTCTTCATATGCTGAACTGTAGTTTTCCTAAGACTTAGACAGTAAGCAGAAAGAACTATAAGTTAACAACATTGCACTGATAATGTAAAAAGACAGATTGTTCAGACATTTGGGGCCAAGGAAAATACAGAAGATACTTGCTCATTCAATAAAGTTGAGTAAGCTTTATTTCAAGTCCACAGAGTAGAAGGAAGTAGGTCTGATGGAAGTCATGAAGAGATAAAGAGGAAAGGGAATGGCTAAGGTAAACCAAATAAATCACACAGAACAGAAACAGACCTACTGTAAATTGAAGCTTATATATCTGAAAGGAAAAAAAATAGCTAAGTAGAATAGTAATTAAAATTCAAGGAACTAAAAACAAGGACCAAAATATTTTCTTTTTCTTAATGCAGTAGAAAATAAAAAGCAAAATAAAATATTTCTCACATATAAGCATAATGAACTTAGAGCTTCTTATTAGAATTAGAAAAGAGTGGTAGAGATGCAACCTTCAGCTTTAAAGAAAATGAATCAATGAACTGCCAGCTCCTAGAAAGGAGGAGCACCACATGTGCCATTCTTCCATTTTTGCCTTAGTATCTGCTACTGGTGACTGCTAACAAGACATTATGAGTTTCCTTGATCATCAGTTGACTTATCACAGCATTTCTAAATACAGAAAAATGTAAAAAAAAAAACAAAAAAAACAACAACCATCCAAAAATCACTTGTTCCCAGTCAGCATAACTTGGTTAATCTCTCACGCATATACACTCCAATACATCTCAGAGACCCAAATAGCAAATACTTTCAATAGTGACATAAAAAATAGATCAAAGTTCAAAATAACAAAGCTTTCAAGGCAGCTCTTTCAGCTCCCTTTCCAATACTCCTGACATGTGCTGTAACCTAAATCTTGTTTAAGTATTTCTGAAATTATAGCTGTATTTCACTGTATATAGGAAACTTATTTTTCTACATGTCATGTTTAACATAAGCAACTTGTTAGAAAGCTCAACTATTGTGCATTTCTTACTTATTTTATTGCTCTGTTTCTTCATTATTAGCTGTAGCTCTTATACACAAGTTGCAACTTTCTCTCACACGATATTCTAGAAAACATGTTATGGCCAAAGCGAAAATAAAATATATTACAGAGAAACAACATTTACAAAACAATTTTGGTGTGAGATTTAACTATACAGCAAGTATTTAAGAAAACCTTTAATGGACTGCAACCTGTAACGTGCCACTAGATGGCAAGTTTGGATAGAAATTAGCTAACTTATTGTATTCACAGAATGACTGCTTGAAAACTTCAAGTGCATAGGAAAGATAATCAATCACAAAAAACAGTAAAGGAAAAGAACACACACACACACAAAATTGGTTACATAAATTCTAAGTCTTCTGTACAAAGCATATTGAATATTAGTCAGAAAGGCTAAATGTGTTTTAATTTTTAACATAGACATAAAACTAATTCTTTTGAGTTTACTGCAGACAGAGAGACAAGTGCTTCTTTCAAATTTGGTCACAGACAGCTCCACTGACTGCAGCAACAATGAGAATACATGATCTGGAGAAAGGCTGGAAGGTAAATGGAAGAGCAATGTCTTGGGAAAGTAGATTCCAGCTTATTCAAGGAATTGCTTGTTAGGATTCCTTGGAAAAGAGCCATGCAAGGAAGGATACCCAGGCAATACAACTGATTTGTAAAGTATATTAATAAAGAACTTCGCTATGAAACACAGTTATGCAGGAAGACCAGGTCTGATTGGTTAAACAGGGAGTTTTTCAATGAGCTAACATGCAGAACAAGAATATATGTATAGTAGAAACAACGACGAGCAATGCCAGAAATATATAAAAACATAACTTGGGTACTACAGATGAAACTCAGGAAGTTAAATATCTACCTAGAGTTAATTTAGTGCTGGACAATAGCAGTTGCAAGAAGGGATTACAATGATTTTCTCATTTCAAAGAAGTTATCCAAGAAAAATCTTGGTGCGCTGATGCATGGGGAAGAACCTAGTGGCAGACACTGTTAGAAAAAGCTGAAGTACTCAATGCCTTCTTTGCATTGGTCTTCAGAGGCAAAGCCTGCTCCTGTACATCAGCGTGCGCTGTCACAAAGGTGAACACTTTCAGATTCATAGAAGCAAATGGAATTAACTGAAGAGAAATGAAAAAGAATTGGCTTACACAATTGTGAGTTAGTCTGGATCTGCTACTGATCTGCCTGTCACACAACTTAATGTGATTTGATCTTTTGTTCCCAACCTATACAGAGATTTCCACCTAGTTTTAAATAAAAACAATTCCCGCTGTTTGAATTATTTCCCTCTGTAGCTAATCACAGAGTTATGTTTGATACTCAGAAGCATGTAAATAAGCACAACTCTTAAAATATATAGTAAATATACCCCCATCATTAAATTCAAAACTATCATAAACAGGTAATAAAATAACATAAGAGTAGAAATTAAGCTTTTTGTTCATTCACAATAAAGCTCTCAAAAAAAACCCCACCATATTAACAACCCATATTCAAAGTGAACACTGAATTTGCTTTGTCATGTAACTGTCAGCCAACTGAAATATAAGTAGAAGCCATACCTCATCAGAAGAAAGAAGGTAAATAGGTGTCAATGTAGGAACTTCACTTAATTCACAACTCAGGCCAAGTGATATCAGAATCTCCTTGAGAACTTCGTATCGCTTGGAATTGCTCATCTTAAGCAAATTAAAATCCTCTTCAGTTTGGATATCCACAGAATTAGTATCCAGTTCCAAATGTACCTGGCAGGATACACGCAAAGAGAATTTTAAAAATTGTTCTGCTGGATTACACATTTTATACTGGCAGAGAGAGATGTGCTCAAACTCCATCCTAACTGTGGTTGCATAACTAGTGTAACTTATAAATTTCTCACATACTCATCACACCCACATTTTGGGTATAATCACCCTACTAAAAACTAGGGAGTAGTTATATCCTAACATTCAGGGATCACAGTTGCTGATATACAATAATTTTCTCTAAAATCTACATAATAAACTCATCTTCTTCTGAAGGAGAAGTTCAAACTTGTAGATATTTACTGAACTCCTGCAAGAGGGATCTTAGAATCAACAGTAATATTGGTCATATTCTGGCTTGTGCAAAAGCAGAATTACATTAATATTGAAAGACCATTATCAGAGGTTGCACAAGATCAACAGAAGTCTGCCAGAACACATCCTTACTGTGTCACACATATTAAGTAGCCAAAAGCAGAGCTAAAGAAATATCTCTGAACAGTATCTCAGAACCCCTGAACAGGACTTGGTAGATAAACAAATCTAAGGGCTCGAGCAGTTGTTTAAAAGAAGAAATGAAATACCTTCAAGGCCTGCTTTCATTTGTTTGTTTCAAAATATTTAGAAGTTTTTGTACACTACTTCATGCACATATATCTGATGAAAATCAAAAGCCATTGTGTTAGTTTCTCCCATTTTGCACATTTTAATGTATTCTTCACATTGATGTTCTTCAGCTTTTATTGATGACCTATTTCACTGAAATTCTGAGAAATTTGCTGAAGGTAGCAAGGGTGGGTAGAACAAATGGTCAACAGAAGAGTACAGAATAAAGGGAAACAACAAGTCTCAGTTATAGAATGTTATAGAATGGCTGATGTCACTGTCAGCCCCCTGAAAAGAAAACAATGATGTTTTTCAAATCCAAACTAGAAGTCATTTGTAATTATAAAATGACACTCTAATCCTTTTAATCTAATTTTTGAAGCTATACTTTAACGTCTTTTGTTTTTTTTTTCTGGGGAAAACTTTTGCAGTGTTAAGTTTTATTACAGGAGAAGACTTCATTCAAATGGTACAGGAAAGCAGGTTTTACCATGGAACTTGCAGAAATGAATAGCAATGGTATCTACCCAATTTTCCAGTCCAAGTACAGACGGATCACACAGGTAGCAAAACTTCCACCAGAGTTATAAACATGTTACTACATATGCCAGTTTCCAAAATGCTAGCAGATTTAACTTAAACTGAGGATAATATCCTGCTTCCAGGTGGGACAGAGTTAACTTTCATCCTAGTAGCTGGTATGGTGCTGCATTTGGATTAAAGATGAAAATAACACTGGTCACACACGTCGTAGTTGTTGCTGAGGAGTGCTTACACACAGTCAAGGAGATTTCAGCTCCTCATGCTGCCCTGCTAGTAAGGAGCTGGGGTTGTACAGGCAGCTGGGAGGGGACAGCCAGAAAGCTGACCTGAAATGGCCAAAGGGATGTCCCATAACACATGGTGTCATGCTGAACTATAAAGCTGGGAAGTGAAGAACTGCTTGAGGAGTGGCTGGGCACTTGTTGGTGGGTGGTGAGCACTACGCTGAGCACCACTTGTTCTTTCATCGTCATTATTTTCCCTTCCTTTTCTGTCCTATTTAACTACCTTTATCTCAACTCATGAGTTTTAATTTTTCCTCCCAAATCTCTCCCTCTCTACTTCTAAGATGCAAAATGTTACATAGCTAAAAGTTTAAATCCTGAAGGAAGACTCAGGGGAAGAAAAAAAAAAAATTGTTTCCAGTTGATCAGTGCTCTCCACTCCTCCCCAGAATTATAAGCATATATTACTGACTGAAAACATGCTCATCAACTTTTAGAAAGCAAAAAAGGTTAATTTAAAATTTCAAGTTGTTTCAATTTTGCTTATATACAGAAGAAATATATCCTAAATGAATAAAAGTGTGGGGAGGTTGTTTTGGTGTTTTTTTTTTAAAAACTACAGATCAGCAAGGCCAACATCCATCTGGAAGTTAAATTTACCCAGAACGCTACTAAAGAAAGCATGAGACTGTTTAGTTCATTCAGAGTGCTGGTATACAAATAGGGTTAGGGAAACAATACTAGAAAAATAGTACCAACAGATCTAAATCAACAGTGGCATTTCAGCATCATCAGAGACTAATCTTTATTATAGCTACTTGTTCATGAAAGAAATTGTGGCAGTTTTTTATATACTCAGTATGCAACAACAGACTCTGGGACTTTTCTCATGTACTCTTTCCAAAGAGATCTGGCTATCATATTCTTAGAACTTAAAAGGAAAATTCTTTACAGTTTCTTGCACATTTTATTTTACTTCCTCTTCTGACTCTCTTCTTCATCATATTTCATATTTCTGTATGAAAGCTTTTATTTTGTCAGTATCAGCTTTTACCCAGAATTCATCAATAACTCTGCTTTTCCTGTTCTCATTTCCCAAAGCCTGCAAAGTGCACAGTTGTAACACGGTGAATCTTCTAGCAGCAGAAATTGATAGCTCTGCCTTTGAAATGGTTTCCTTACTATGCATATCTGTTGTCTCCTCTACCATCCACAGAAACTACGCATGACCGACATAGTGAAAACAAGGACCTGCAACAGCAATGACATTTTTCTACCATTCTTTAGGTTTCCTGAAGATAAAGTGAACATCATTCTGTATTCAGAGCCCTTGTACATTCACTGAGACATACATCCACATTTGCCCCTCGACAAACATTCCAAAGAGCATGCCATATCAACAAATGAGCTCCTTTAGAACACAACAACACTGTGTACCAATGAGCAAATTAGTGCTTTTCAATACACAGTACCTGAGAAAGAATGGCTTCTCCTCCATTGTCTCCATAAGGCAGATGAACAATAACTATATCTTTATCAGCATTATTTAAGCAACTCAACGGCTTCACTTTGCTGCTCCCTTCCTTCATTGCTATCTCAAAAATACAGCCAGTGATCAAAAGATTTAACTTCATTTCAGTACTGTCCATTTTAGAGACCACTAATTCATGAACAGTTCTCTTCAATTTGTCTTTCCTCTTTATTTGTATACCATCAAATGTAAAAGAGGATGATAACCCTAGAATCTTTCCACCTTTAGATAAAAACTTCATGAACTGTTTTTGGTTCTTCTCAGAAATAGGCCTTTCTGTGGCAATGATCAACAGCAGTGAATTATCAATCCACGGAGCTTTCAGAACTTGTTCTTCATGCAGCTGGTAGATGGCGTAGCTATCTGTATCAACACATTCCTGAATGACTGATTTTACTTGCTCAAAGCTCACTTTTGCAGTTCCAGAGCCAACATAAATCAATATATTAGGGGGCTTTCCAGCAAGGTTTACTCTCTTTATTCCTGTTGTTAGACAATCACCATTCTCTTCCAGTTTGCTATTGCAATCATCAGGAAGTTCTGGAATGTCTTCCACAGAGGCAAACCTGACTGATTCGATAGTGCTGTTTTCAAGTTGTAGACATTCACGACAGCTGGAAAGATGCAAGTGATGATGCTCTCCAAAACCTATCTCTTTGTCAGATAGGCTGTTGGATTCATCTTTGTGCTCATTTTCTTTTCCTCGCTTAGATTTCTCTTCTTTTGCCTCTGCATCATCTTGTCCTGCAGACTCAGCTACTCCTAATTGTGTTTTATCAGTAGTCCCAAAAGTAGCAGGAGTTACTTCATTCATCTGTTTAATGCTTGCACTCTTCTCTTTCATAGATGGTGTCACCTGTTTTAACTCCTTCAGAGTATTTTCTTGTAAATGGACAGCTGGAAGAGTTAAAAAAGGAGGAGTTATAAAAATTTTTATCAGAAGATGTATGATGAATATCACTTAATCAGCAGAATCAAGGCTTAATTTCAGCACAAGTCCAGAATACTACAAATTTTATCTGTTTGACACATCAAAACCACTCCCTTGAATAGAATAAATTTATACTCATAGAACAAATCATTGACTGTAATGACTATTTGTTTCAGGGAAGCATGGATGAGAGTCTAACACTTGTTATTCACAGGGAACATTTAAAAAACCCACTAACGCTCATAAGCAGTGCACAAGTACATGGAGAAAAACAAAACCTGACAACTACCATATGCAATTCAAACGTGCTCTTAACAGAACAACAGTGAATAAGAAGAAGGTAAAGAAGTTCTCATAAAAGTATCAGTTTGTCAGTTTTTGTACATGACTAAAAAAAATGGACAAAATAAAGCAAGGGAAATACTTTTGGAAAAATGCTGATCTGTTAAGGAGGGCAGAGTGGAAAACTGCTATTTTGAAATAGGTTGTGAATAGGTTTTGAAATAAGCTATTAAAGTCATGATATTGGGTAAGATGGAAATGCTGAACCATGTCTCTGGCACTGTCAAAGGCAGTAAAATAGAAGCTTTGCATAAGTTAAAAAAAAAAAAAAAAAGAAGGAACAGATACATCTGAACTGCTTCCAATCTGCAGAAAGGGAGACATAATCAGCTATAGGCAATACATAGGAGCTAAAAATCCAAAGAAAAAACAAATAGCAAATGTGAATTCCTTTCCCTAAAAAGAACAGAAATGCAAACATAAAAATTTCCTGGTAAGCACAAATGAAAAAAAAGAAGGGCAAAGATACCACTATGAGCAAAACTTGTGGAGCCAACTAACTGAGAAAGAGGAGAGAAAAATTATTCTTCATACAGTAACTTATTTCTTTCAATTTCTGAACCACAGAAATACAAGGACCACTCCTAAAGTAATGTCTCCTATTTTATTATGTTGGCACACAATGTCAGAGTTGGATATTGGTTGTGTGGCAGTAGAGCTTGAACCTTCCAACCAATATTCCATTACATTTTGTTGCCATGACAGTTCCTCCATGTGGAAAAAAATGGTACCCACTGACATTCACTGATGCTTTCTGAATGTTGATGGAGACCAAACAGTGGATGCAAGCACAGTGAGGGGTTGGTGGAGCATTTCAGAAGTGGCAAGAACAACAGGTCATCTCCGCTGGAGCAAGTTTTTATGAGCATGTAATGCAGGCTTTTGTTCATCACTGATGAAAATGTATAGATAATGGTGATGTGTTGAGAAATAATGTTTTGTAGCTGAGAATTTGCTCTATCAAATAGTGTTATTGTGCTGTTTTTATCTGTTGTAGTTTCCATGGAAGTAAGTAGGAGGCAATACTTTCAGAGCAACCTCCATACTACAAGTCAAAATATGCAAAAACTGATTGAATCCATCTCCACCGCCATAAGACCAAATGCTTATTTATGTAGATATTAAGATCATATACACAGCTCTAAAACACGTTTTATCATTAAAAACAAATATGTGAAAATACTCACAAACAATCTTGCATGGAACCATTCCATTATCCATTTGAAGCCTGTCTTCCATGAATGCTATTCCAAGGTTACTGAAATTATCTACACTTGCTTCAGCAATTAACTTATATGGTTCCCCAGGTTTATAGGCCAACGGTGAACAATAGTCAGACCACTTCACAATCTAAGAATAAACCACATGAATGTTTTTCAGCTTGAAAAGGCTACAGAAAAATATAAAATATACCAACAGTATTATGTTTTTGCAAGATCAACTGCAGAGAACTGCCTTCTCTAAAGATTCTGGTATGGAAAAACATCACAACAACAGGCAGAGCCACAGGGATGTTACGAAAGCAAACCAGCACAACTGGCAAATTCAAGTGTCAAAAGTAACATAACTATTTTATCAGAAGCATTAAGTAAGTACACAAGGTTTAAGTTGCTTGGTACATCAAGAATTCTGGTCCCTAGAAAAGCATAATGGGGAACACTTGGGCTTCTCCTCTCAGAGAAGGTTTGTTAAACCCAAACATACACATATCACCCACTATTCCTGATCAGCTCTTTCTTCAAGTGCTGTGCTGCTGCCATGTCACTTTGCCCAGAAATTCAACAAGAGGGCAACCAGTCTTAGACACTCAGGGTACCTAAGAATTCTTAGAGTACACTGCTTTCGTGTCTACAAAAACCTTAATCTCTTCTCCTTCTCTGCATGCCTTTCAAGCCAACTCTTCCACAGCCGCTCTCCTCATCATGTAACTCTGCGTTATTCCCTATGGTGGAAGTTAAGAGTTAAAACATTTTTAAGACACCCTTTCTTACCCAGAGAACACACACAAGCTACTAACATCCACATCACCTGTAAACTGTGAGAATATACTGATACTTTTTCCTTTTCTTCATGGCACCAAGTAGAACATTAGGCATACTAATAAGTAAAAATTAGTTACTGCTGTCCAGTATGAATGAAGTGAATAAACAAAAGAACCTCTCAAAGTTAGGCTACTGCCAAGACATATGACCTGAAATTCTGCTAACACAACAATCCAGAACAGAACAAAATCCCTAAGAGAATTGTTTCAAACCAGCCAAGCTCTCCTGCTATGACTAGAAATCCTCATCGAAATTCTGTCATAATACAGAACAAAAGGCTAGCTCTTATTAAGAGATGAGAAATTATTCATAGTCCTGCTTTATGCATCCAACTCAGTTTCAGCTGAAACCAGTGACAGATCACTGACAGCTATTCAAAGAACATCTTTCTGTCAAGACATTCTTGTAGGCCACAGGAGTAATCTATTCTTACAGTCCCTATCTATGTTGAAAGTTAGCTGCCAGAGATAGCAGCCAAAAGCACTTCTGGTGAAGTGACACTTACACAGAATAATAAATAAACAAAATAAAACATCAGTCCTTTTCCACTTAAGTTTCAGTATTTTTCAGTTTGATAAATTAATTGTTAATGTCTGTAGAAGAATGCAACTTTTTTTCATTCGAAAGAAAATGCAAACAAACAAATCAACAACATTAAAACACACACACACAAAACAACAACCCACAATTCTGCCTAATAAAAAGCCTCAAAAGAGCAGCAAATCAGTGCTTCAATCCAGATGTTTCTTTTGTGGACCTGTGTTATAAATTTCCCTTAGCCTTCTGCCTGAGATGGGCCAGTACACTCCAGCTGCACAATGAGACAAGGTAGAAGCAAAACAACAGGTATCCAATCTAATTTATTTCCTACAAGCAGAACCCACCTGGATGGCTTCCACTGACTCACATCAAAGACAAAAAAAAAAAAAGAAAAAAAAAGCCATCTACAAAACAGCTGGCGTGGCTACTGCTATGAGGCCAGCTGGGACGAGGGTCAATAGGCTTCAGCAAGAAAGGTTTCAGTTCAGAACAAACTTCTAGTACCTCCAGTCCCCATAGTCTGGCCTTCATGGAGATAATGATTTTGCCTGGTGCAGCACCTCACCTGGATATCATTCCTCTAGAAAGCAAAGACTAAGATGTTCCATGTAAGAAGTACCTCTTGAGAGCAGTCCTGAGGAGAAGGGCTTGGAGGTCCTGGTAAATGAGAAGCTGGACATGAGCCAGCAGTGTGCACCTGCAGACCAGAAGGCCAGCTATGTTCTGGGCTGCATTAAAAGAGGGGTGGCAAGCAGGGAGAGGGAGGTGATTGTCTCCCTCTGTTCAGCTCTTGTGAGGCCCCATCTGGAGTACTGTGTCCAGGCCTGGAGCTCCCAGCATAAGAAGGACATGGAACTCTTGGAACGGGACCAGAAGAGGACCACTGAAATGTCAGAGGGCTGGAGCACCTCTCCTCTCATGAAAGGTTGGGGGAACCAGGCTTGTTTAGCTTGAAGAGAAGACTCTGAGGAGACCTCATTGTGGCCTTCCAATACTTGAAGGGAGCATATAAACAGGAGGGGGAACAGCTGCTTATGAGGGTGGATACGCAAAGGGGAAATGGTTTTAAACTGAGACAGGGGAGGTTTAGGTTAGATAAGAGGAGGAAGTTTTTCACGCAGAGGGTGGTGACGCACTGGAACAGGTTGCCCAAGGAGGCTGTGGATGCCCCATCCCTGGAGGCATTCAAGGCCAGGCTGGATGTGGCTCTGGGCAGCCTGGTCTGGTGGCTGGCGACCCTGCACATAGCAGGGTGGTTGAAACTAGGTGATCATTTTCAACCCGGTCCTTTTTAACCCAGGCCATTCTGTGATTCTACAATTCCATTAGTATGCTTTGTTCTTAATTCAAAGGACTACAGAGGGTACTAAAATCAGGTTGCAGACATCCAGAATCATTTCCATTCACAGTCTGTCCTTCTGTTCCTGCATTCTTACCAGGATAGGTAAGTCACCAGACACTGCTCTGTGTGTTCACTACAGCAGAGGACTCCCAGATCATGTCTCAGAACAAGTTGCTTGGAAAATGTATGCTCCTCATCCAAGGGAACTGATGAACCACAATTACTTACAGATGTGACAGCATCTTTAACAACTAAAAGGACCTGGTAACCAGATGCCAGAAAGTAAGGATGACAGATGATTCTGTGGAGTGCTAAGTAGGGGCAATTCAGGAGGACACCTAATTAGTCCCCTCCAGATAGTGGTCCTAGCTTGTGGCATAGGCTATTTAGTGGAGGACTCTGTCAATTTTATATTATTCCAGCAATCAGACCCAATGTTTTACTACTGTCTACCCAAAGATGCATGCATGGCTTTCTACCTCTTCTGTCCTTGCATCAGTGAGCAATGAAGTCCAGTCTGTAACTCATCAACATTTTTCAGTATTATGAATTACAGGTCAAACATTATTTGTAAATTTCAAACAAGAAGCATTGCCATTTCCCAACTGCATTTTATAGAAAAGCAAAGAAATTAAGAATTTGACTTTGGTCTCACTTCAGTAGACTTTGAAAAAATTATCAAAATGTATTTAATATCAAATGGTGATACATTTATTTGAAGTAGAAAACAGAATGTGAGTATTAAAAGTGATCGTTTAATGACTAGACTACATTTTTATTCCCAATAACATTATAAATGTACAAAATCTGTGATTGATTTATTCCTTCAAGCATTTAGAGTTACGCTTAATTCTATGTCCATATAGATGCTAGACTTTGCACTACTACTTTCTTTACACGAAACAAAGAGAAGTGCTTACCTCTTTTGAAGACACACGTAATTTCTGCAAGTTATCTGCCTGAGCTGAAACACTTTCTGTCACAAAAGCTATATGTTCCGTTTCTAGTAACTTATCAGGATAAATAAAAGGAGAAATGAGAAGTAGACTCCATCTGTTTAAATCATCGAGGAGCTGAAAGAAACAGGAAAGGAAAAGTCTCTAAATGGAACATCTGATTTAATAATTCTTTTTTTAATTTTCCCCAGACCAAATTCAAATCTAACTTTTCAGCTTTACATGAACACTCTCTGCAATTTCACAAGGAAGAGAACTTCCCATAAGCAAAAAAGGGAAATCATCCCGAACCATAAAGAAGGGACATACTAAAAGTAAAATAAAAATGGATCACCTATAAAAATGGATCAGCTTTCAAGACAACTCAGATTCCAGCATTCAACTTTACAGTAGAAGCATGCAGCTGAGTGAGCCACTGAAGACAGCTGTGCTATTGGCACTGAGACCTTCTTGGGCCACTTGCCACTGGACTCTGCCATTGGCAGTATGTTTCATTCAATCCAGTCCTCCTCTCTCACTCATACTGCAGGCCGCCCTGCCTCCTTCTTCCACCTCAGTGCTAGTTCCTGATGGCGGAAGAGCACTGCTTGAGCTTTCGTAGAAACCAAGAAGGCAGTCATAACACAGCACACACACTCAGTCAGCACAGTGCCATTATCTGGCTAGCATTCAGATGGCAAGTTAGGTAACAGTTCTCCGGGAAACACAGTCCCACAGCTAAGTAGTACACATTGTCTCTACATCCATCTGCCAAAAGACCCATCAGCCTATGAGCCACAAATGACCCAAGGACTGTATATTACATGTGTCTAATATTCAGGATAGCTACCTTATAGTTCTAGGAATTCTTTTGTAAAGCCAGTTATGTATAGATAGTTTTATTTTTGTGGAGGTGTACAGTCTCCTAAAAATTAGTACAAAATGTAGATATGTGTATGGGAACTGCTGAGTCACAGCCTGAACTTCACCTGAGGCAAGCACTGAGTCAGCTCTGGGAGTACAGGTGAAGGCAATTCACCTGTGTGCCCAGAAGGGGTGGAGCCTGGCAGCACCTCTCCTACACCCCATTTAAGGGCTGACTGCCACTAGGGAAGCATCTCTCTCTAGAGATTCCTCTTTTGGGAGTTTTATACTGTGAGTTGAAGACGTGGATGAGCATTTCATTTTTTATTGTCTCTTTCCACCACAATAAGCTTTCCAACTATAAACCTGTAAAATACCATCCTAACCATGCCACTCTTCTAGCTGTACGTTTGTTAATTGCACAGTATTGTACTGACATTATTTTTCCCACTATATTTTAAAAGCTGTAAATAGTAAAAGAGATAGCTATTTTAGTACAGTTGTACTAGAAACACACACTTTGTGTTCCTTTGGTAACTCCATGTAGAAGCATGAGAAAATTTCCATAGATATATTACACATAGACATGATTCCACATGTAAATGGAAACACTGCAGTATTAAGACTTCTTTGTATAACTAAACTTCAAGAGGACAATCTGGTTAGCTTGCCATCCAACCAGCTTTCCTAGTTGGGTAGCAATGTTTATTTTTGCAGCTTCTATGCTCAGAAAAGTGAGCCAAACTACTGAAGCTTTGTATTACCTTAGACTTTTAGTTTGATTAATTGGGGGGGGAAGAAAGACATTTGTTAGGTTGCTATTTAGAAACCAGTGTAGCTTAGTTAGCTTTCTAGAGGCCAAAAGCATGATAGTCGTTTTTTTTTTTTCTCCAGTGTTCAATGGATGATGCAGCATTCCACAGCGATGCTGCCTCTGCCTGTAGTACAGTTAAGTCAGAGCCCTCATGTGTCACAGGAACAGGGTGTAGGGTGGCAGGCCTTTTGCACAGGCAGTCCAGCAAATACAGCTCATAACTTCCAATGCACTTTTCTAAGAGGCAAATACACTGTGAATAAGAGCATTGACTTTATGTCAAACATCAAGCCAAAATGCAATTCCCTTGAGAGTTTCCTAAGTCGCACAAACAGAAACTGACAAGCTTATGAAGTCGGTCTGCATTCAGAGCATAGCAGACAAAAAGAAATGTGCTTAGTATGCAAGGACTGGGGAGAAGCTATTTTAGACACGAGCAGAAGTGGAGCAAAGAAAGCACGGACTTGTTGAAATATGATTTCATAGTTTGCATTTACACAGAACTTTCCAATGTTCACACAGAACTCTGCTCTTTATGTTCACTACAGCACAGGACTCTGCCATTTACATAGAACTTCTCTGAAGACATGGAAAAAACACTTGATTTTGTTTTCAAGGACTTAACAACTGCTTAACTGCCCTGTGAGAGATGCTGCCACCATCTCTTCTAAGTATGAAATAGTCCAATCATTGGATTGCAAGAAACTACTTTTGAATCCATTCCATTTGCACCACTGCTTGCACTGCACTGAAACCAGCCTTTTGGATACCTTAACTTCATAGAATGGTCTCGAGTTGGAATGAAGCCACAAGGGTCATTAAGTGCAACTCTGGGCTCCGCACAGGGCCACCCAAAAATCAGCTTTCCTGCTTCTGGAAAAGCCTTAGCCAACAACACATATCATAAATACATTGTGGTTGGCAGCCCTGTGCGTGGCAGGGGGTTGAAACTAAATGATCGCCGTGGTCCTTTTCAAGCCCTGGCCATTCTATGATTTCATGCTCATTTATGTAAAATGTATAATAATTACTTCCACAAACAATTCTGAAAATCGCAACAAAAAAAAAAAAAAAAGAAAAAAAGGGGGGGGGGGATCAAGATGATGCCTGCCCTCAGCTTTACTCTGGCATTTAGTTACAGATAAGCCCAATCTTAATTCAAATAAATCAGGTGACCCGCACAGGGAGGAGCGGTGCCCGAGGAGTTCCATTTCTGCACCTGCAAGGCTGGCAGCAAGCTTACCGTATCCTAAAGTAAAACTGAAACTGAGCGGAACTCCTCCAGGTACTGCGTGCTTCTCTTCCACCGCTGCCCTTTCTGCACAAACGCGATGGCGTTTTTCGCATCACGTCTTCCTCACCCGAGGTAACGTCTTGTGCCCAGAGAAGCAGGCAGTTTTCCATAACAAAAGCCGTACTGGTGAGGCTCGTCCACTGACGGGCGAGGACAGCGCGGCACAGCCCGTGGAGCGGACACTCGCCCCCTCCCTCGGGATCACGGTAACGGAGGAGGCCGCCGTCCCTCGCTTCTCCCTCCCTCGCACGTACCTGCGTCTCGTCCGTGAAGAAGACTTTGTTTCCTATCCTGAGGCAGACTCGCTCCTCGGGCGGCGGCGGATGAGCCGGAGGCGCCGCAGGGCCGGCGGAGCAGCAGAAGGTGAAGGAGCAACGGGAGCGGTGGAGGCGGCGCACGGTGCGGCGGATGAGCGCGGCCGAGCGAGGCCCCCAACGCGCCCATAGGTAGAGGTAGCAGAGCGTGATCAGCATGGCGGGCGTCCCCCCGCCCAGCCCCGCCTCCAGCGGCCGGCGAGCGCCGAGCGGAGCCTCCGCCCCGCCTCCCGCCCCGCCTCAGACCCCGCCCGCCGACCGTCTTGCTCTCCCCCCGAACCGCGCCCGCTGGGCGAGCCGTCGGCCGATCTGATTGGTTGCCGGCGGCGGGAGGCGTGAGCGGGGCTATAGCGGTTCGTCCTCGAGACCGCCTGAGGCGTCCCGCCTCTGCTTGCGCGTGCTGTTGGGCGGGAGTGGTGTTGTGGTGTTTGATGCCACAGAGCGTGCGAGGTTGTGCTTGGGTCAACGTGGCAAGAGAAAAAAAAAATCAATTAAAAAAATATATATATCCTTGAGGTCTCTTCTGACCCATGCCACTCTGTGATTCACAGAATCACAGAATAGCGAGGGTTGGAAGGGACCTCAAGGATCAAGAATCTCCAACCCCCCTGCCACATGCAGGGCCACCAACCTCCCCTTTTAATACTAGACCAGGCTGCTCTGGGCCCCATCCAACCTGATCTTGAACACCTCCAGCGAGAGAGCATCCACAACCTCTCTGGGCAGCCTGTTCCAGCACCTCACCACTCTCATAGTAAAGAACTAAAGATTCTGTGATTCTATGGTTCTACTTAGCAGTGTAGCATTGCAGGTTATGAGCTCTGCTATGCAGTCCTGCATGTCTCATGTTCCTATCTGTGATAAGGCTGCAAATCGCAGGACTAGGCTTGTGTTTCTGCTATACAAACCTGTTTCTTATCCCATCAGCTGCATGGGATGGGTTGTACAAAAGTGCAGCTGGCAGATCAGCTAAGTGTAAGTATCTGTTACTTTTTTTTTTTTTTTTTTTTCCATACAGAAACAAGGAGTTATTCTCATTTTCCTCAGAAATGACTCCACTTTGCCACCTGAGCTAATTTCAGTGCCTGCTGCACTTTCGGGAGCAGCATCTCCCAGTCACAAACACAGGAGGTGGAGCGATGGACCTCAGGTCCCATCTGTGCAACAGGACAGGGCACAGCAGCAACAAGATGACACACTTGTTTTCATTTGATTTGACTAGGTCACCAAATGAGAAACATGAAATCACTATCCCAAGGGGCCTGACGTTGAACTGATGAAGAGTGTGATGGGGAATAAAATGATACAATGTGCATGTGTTGTGTGCTGCAGACACAGCTTGCCACTACACAGGAAGCCAAAACAACTTACACAGGGTATCTGCTGCTCATCTGGCACTTGCATGAAAGTTATTGAGATGGTGAAGGTAGAGGGGAAAATGTATGAGGAGCGGCTGAGGCCCCTCGCTGTGCTCAGCGCAGAGCAGAGGAGCTGAAGGGAGGCCTGATGGCGGCTGCAGCTCCTCACAGGGAGCGGAGGGGCAGCGCTGAGCTCTGCTCTGTGTGACAGCGACAGGGCCCGAGGGAACGGCATGGAGCTGTGTCAGGGGAGGGCAGATGGGGGTCAAGGAAAGGGTCTGCACCAGAGGTCGGTGGACATGGAACGGGCTGCACAGGGCTGTGGGCATGGCACTTGCCAGAGTTAAAGAAGTGTCTGGACAATGCTCTTAGACATATTACATGATTTTTGTGTGCTGATATTCGGAGTCAGGATTTGGAGTCACTTATCCTTACAAGTCCCTTCCAACTCAGCATGTTCTGTGATTCTATGATCAGCTTGATCCCAGTGGGCATTCAGTGCATGAATGAAAAGAGAGAGGGGAAAAAGAGAAGAAAATGCAAAAAGGCTAGAAGAAATAATGGCACCAATGTGAATGCAGCTGGATGATACGTAACAAACATTTCCTGAACAGAACACAAAGCTACATTCTTTTTTTACTATTCTGAACTCAAGGCCTGGTATGCACTAAGAAATTTACTAAAATAGCTATTCTAAAATCACAGTGTTCTAAATGGGTAGCTGTCAACATCACAGTGACATTTTAGATAAACAAGGAACACACTGGACCTGTGCATTTTGGCATGGGAAAAAAAAAAAAAAAAAAGAAAGAAAGAAAGAAAGAAACATCAAAAACACCACAAGAACTATAGTACCATGACAACTTTTTTCTTTTTTTGAATCTGCACCCACAGTGAAAGCTTATCCAAAATGGCAGAATTCTCTGACATAATTTTGGTTTCCACAGGGCATGTCTGAAACAGTTAACAGTTTCAGTTGAATGATCAAACAATTTAAACAGCTCCCTCCCTTCATATCAAGCCGAAAAAGTATCAGCGTGGTGGCTCTGCTGCTATATTCCCTATATATATTCTATAGACAGGGCAACAAAGTCTCTAGTGGTCATAATTTTCCATTATACACTGTTTCTTTATGTGGCTTTATCTTACAGAGGAAGTCAAAATACTTACACAGGCACATCAAAAGAAGGAAAACAAGCAAAGTATACACAGCCTCAAAAGAAAGCTCTTAGCCTTGGAATTCACTTTCTCTGTAATCGTTCACTAGCACCCACATTGCTGACCTTCAGAGCACACTGCAAAACATAACTGTTTGTTTATATAACCTTTGCACGATGAGCAACATACTTTGTTTAATCCTGCTGTATTCAATGACAGCATTGAATGCGGTCAACTAGATTTTTATTTATTTCTCTATTTTTGGGGGTTCCTTTACTCAGGAGAAGTTCATGAGTACCTGAGAAAATTGAGTCAAAAATTCATTTTGCAAGGGAATCTAAAGCAGTCACTATTTTAAGACGGTGAAATGTTGGAATATTCTCAGTGAGAATAATTTGAACCCATAAAATTGCTGTCAGTACTCAGATTTTGATCATAGTGTAGCTTGGACTTAATAGTGAAAAGCTCTTTTTAAAATGTTAAGTATTTTATATTGGGAAACATTTCTGTATTGTTATGAAATCAAGGCCATGTACACACTAGGATATTTACTAAAATAGATATCTTAAAATAAGCATGTCAAACAGTTTCCCCATAAAGGAGGGTGGAAGGAAGCCTTGAAAAGGAACAGTGAGTAATATTAGCTCTCAGACTCAACGGAACACTTGCATTTTTTTCACACAGAATCACAGAAGGCCCAGGATGGAAGGGACCTCAAGGATCATGAATCTCCAACCCCCCTCCCACAGGCAGGGCCACCAACCTCCACATCTAATACTAGACCAGGCTGCCCTGGGCCCCATCCAACCTAGTCTTGAACACCTCCAGGGATGGGGCATCCACAACCTCTCTGGGCAGCCTGTGCCAGCACCTCACCACTCTAATAGTAAAGAACTTCTCCCTGACATCCAACCTAAATCTTCTCTCACTCAATTTAAAACCATTTCCTGTTGTCCTGCTGTTATCTACCCTTTCACAGAGTGCAGCTCACAGAAAGATGTTGCAAGATGTAGAAAACAGACACACAGAGACATGAAATGGTTTACAAAGAAAATTAGGTAAACTCTGAATAAAGGGAATAAGCTAAATTTCAAATTTCTGCCTACAGATGAGCAGAAAATAACCTCTTCCAAATAGGACAGAAAGACCAGCTTCAGTCTAGAGGGGTTAAGTCCATCTAGGCTCTCCCATATGACTCAGAACAGGGAGCCTGCACTGCCATGGAACATAAATGTTAAGGAGCCTTAATTTTTTTTTTTTCCCCTACTTTAAAATGAATATTATGAAAATAGCTCTGAGGTGCTTCGTGAATGACTTTCAATTCATTTTTGAGGAGCTTTGTATGCTATTAATGCCTCCAAATGTTGTTATGATATGTTGTTTAACACCAGCTAATATTTAAATCTGTAAATGCTGTAGAGTTATCCTGTCTCCTGACAGTATTCATTTTGCATATTATTTATCCTTGCAAATGCATATGTGCTTTCATTAAAAAAATAATAATAGTAATAATAACTGAGTAAAACGAGTTTCCCCCAAAATAAAAACACAAAATAATTATCTTATGGTCCATTTCTCTCCTGATACGCTATCCTTAATTCCCTTAAAATCAGACCAAATCTACCAAAGTTACTCTCTGGAAGTATTAGAAGTGTGAAAAATAATCCCTTCTTCTGGGAAAAAGATATAAGTAACAGTATTGGTATTTTCTTTCCTTTGCCAAATACAGCTCCTCATACTGAAATTAAGTATATTTCAAGATACAGTTGTTCCTTTCAGTATCTAAAGGAGGCCTACAGGAAATCCAGGGAGGAACTTTATAAGGTAGTGTAGTGATAGGGCTTAAGTTGGAGGGGAGCCCAAAGCCCACCCACCCCAGCCCCTGCAGGGCTGCCCCCCACCAGCTCAGCTGCCCAGGGCCCCATCCAACCTGGCCTTGAGTGCCTCCAGGAATGGGGCACCACAGCTTCTCTGGGCAGCTGTGCCAGTGCCTCACTGGCTGCTGGAGAAAAAATTTCCTCCTAACATCTAACTTAAATTTTCCCCTTTTAGTTTAAAGCCATTCCTCCTTGTCCTATCACTATCAGACCATGTAAAAAGTCAGTCTCCTTCCTGTTTATAAGCTCCCTTCAAGTACTGGGAAGGCTGCAATGAGATCTCCCTGCTAAGACCCTTCTCCAGACAAAACAAGCCCAGGTCCCTCAACCTGCCTTCACAGGAGAGGTGCTTCAGCCCTCTGTTCATCTTTGTGCCCTCCTTTGGATCTGCTCCAACAGCTCCCCATCCTTCTTGCTGGGAGGCCCCAGCCTAGACTACTCAAGATGGGGCCTCATTAGGGCAGAGCAGAGGGGGATGATCACCTCCCTCTCCCTTCTGCCTACCCCTGCTTTGGTGTATTCCAGGATACTGTTGGCCTTCTGGGCAGCTCACACTGCTGTCTCATGTCCAGCTTTTTGTCCAGCATGCAAAATATTAACTTCTATTTTTCTACAATGTTACCAAAAGTTACATTAGATAACATTATAGTTTCATTGACAAAAGTTTTTTTTTTTTTTTTTTTTTAATTTTGTAGCACACTTGGTCTTGCAGGGCTTTATCAACAGACTTATTTGATGTAACTTTGTATCTTTCAGAGAGCTATATTTTAGTAGCTCAGGCTTCAGTTCTGCGCTAATATCCTTGTTGGCAGGT